GGACAGCCCCGCTGGGCGGTCGGGGCAGCCCTTACCGTACAGGAAGTCGTACGCTCGGTTGGCGGACGCGTAGCCCCCGGCCCTCGACCTCTGCCCGCCCTGGTGCTGGGACACCCGGCGGTTGGCCCGGGGCTCTTCGATGGTCACTACGTGGCTCATGATGCAGCCTCTTTCCTCCGCCAGCCGGGACCGGCTAGGGAGGCCTGGCAGCGGCGCGCAGTAGCTATGGTAACCTCGGGGCACGCGGCGCTTAGGGCGGGGCAGAGAGGGGCAGCGCGGGAGGGGGCCTGAGTGCTGGCCGGGTGGGGCGAGTGGAAGGGAAGGGCCGCGAGGGAGCGGCCTCGGGTCCCACACGTTTGGGAGACGCGGCCACCACCCAGGATCGACTCCGAGAGCGGGGGAAGGGCCACCCTTCAGGTTCTAGCAGTAGTTCACCTGGCACACCCGAAGGCCTCTTTTGGAAATCCCTGGGAAATTTCAGAACTATCTAGACTGGTTGGGTGGTTTCAATTCGGAAAGCACCTTTCCAAGGGACTCATCCCGTTGAAGAACCCACGCCCCTAAATGTTGGGGGCTTCTCTAGCCCCACACCCATTCACAGATTGCAGCTGTCTACCTGGGCAGTAGACCAACTGCTTTTTAAAAATTATTTATGACGGAAAGCTCTAAAGATAGGCAAAGTGATTCCACTTTTAATGAATTCTTAAGTACCCTTTTCCCAGAATCAACATGAATCACCACTTGCCAGTCGTTTCATTTTCCCTCTCTTAGTAGCAGAATTTTAAATATATTATTTTGCTCTTAAATTGATCTGTACCTCACAGTGATATAGCTTTTAAAATGTAATCATCTCGCGCCGGGGATTTAGCCCAATGGTTCCAGCGCCTGCCTGAGTTCAATCCCCAGTACCAAAATGATAAAATAAAATTTAATCATCTCTAACAAAATGCACACTAATTCCTTCATATATTAGTTGTCCATGTTCAAATGTCCCTGGTTGAATACAAGGTATCACTTAATGTAGTTGGTGTGTCCAATTCAAGATCAAAAATTCTAAAACAGTGGATTTCAATAATTAACAGTGCTTTCAATAATCTTTCTCTTGGAGATTTTCTATGAAAAGAATCTTCTCAGACTAACGCATTGTTTATGTGGAAATACAGATTACAGAGGAAAGACTGGTTAAATGCTAGATTCTTCCTTTAAGCATCAAATTGTCAAACTGGGTCAGTATCCTAGCAAAGTTAACTACAAAGTTTTTGTCATATAGTATCTTTATGAATGCATACATTTTTACGTATCTGATGTTTGAAACAGTATGGTAATTACTCTTTGATATTCAACTTATCCCATTAAGCTACTAGTGCTTCTTAGAGTTGGCTTGTTTTTGTTTTGGGGTTTTTTTTGTTTGTTTAGGAAATTCATAGACACCTTTTTGGTTTTTTTTGGGGGGAGTGTTGTTTTTTTTTTAGACAGGGTCTTACTATGTGGTTCAGGCTGGCTTTGAACTCGTGGCAATCCTCCTGCCTCAGCCTCCAAGTGCTGGAATCACAGTCTTGTGCCACCTTATGCAGCCCCCCTCCCTTTTTAAACTAGGAATCAAAGCCATGATCTACTACTGAGCTATGCTCCTAGCCCTTTTAATTTTCTTATTTTGAACTTGAGATCCTACTGCCTCAACCTCCCAAACTGCTATGACCAATTGACTTGTGCCATGCAGTGTTAGTTTCACTGGGTTGTTATAAACATGCCATGGATCGAATGGCTTAAGCAGCAGTTACTTGTTTCTTACAGTTCCGGAGGCTAGAAGTCTAACAACAAGGTACAGTTAATTCTGTTCCCAGTGAGGGCCTCAGTCCCCTTTTCTCTTTTGCTGTGTTCTCATATGGTAGAATAGGGAAGCAGGGAGCTTCTGGTCTCTTCTTAAAAGGATGCTCATCCTGTCATGAGTGCATACTCCATTCGTATGACTCCATCTCAACTTAATTACTTCTCAAAGGCTCCTCGCCTAAACATCATCACATTGGCGGTTAGGGCTTCCATGTATGAGTTTTGAGAACGTACGGCATTAAGTCCACAGTGAAAAGAGCAAATGACTAACACACCATCTTTATGAAATTCGGTTCTGAATCATGTAGTCAACTTGTATAAAACAAACTGTGCTATTGAAGAGGAATGCTAGTTAATAAAATGAAACTTAAAGTTGGCCATGTTTGGAGAAAATGCTGTTTGGGTGTTTATGCTCCCCCATGTCATGCAAAGCAGGGGGCCCTGCCAGTCCTTGTCCCTTTGTGTAGGAAACAACCTTGGAAGACAGTGTCTCCTTTTGAGCAAAGTACAGACATTCTGACAGCCTATTATTAAGGCTTAGGCTTTCCTGAACTCACTGTTCATTTCTTATAATGCAACCCAATGTGCATGCAGATATTATCTGGCCTTACATCACCCCGTGGGAAATGGGGCTCTGGGAACTGGCGCAAAAATGCTGATTCTCTGCTGCTACTGCTGCAATACACTTGTTCTTTTCTGTAAGCCAGCGGTTTGGCTGCTTCTACCAGCATTCTTTAAACTGACAATGGAAATTGGAATATGTTTTATTCAGAGGCAGACATGTGAATACTGAGCTGTGTGACCCTGTGTACAAACCCCACCTATTTAAACAAGAATTTAAGCCTTGTAATTCTCCTCTCTCAACAGATGGTGTCGCTCCTTCCCCACCAATTTCAGTGACCTATGCGTCATAAAATCATCTGGCCTTGGTTTAGTTAGGCAGGGGAAATGACTACCTTTATCATGGAAGGATTTTATCTGAAGTATTTTTTAAATTATTGTTTATTACACTATCAGGGCTGTCACTCCATCCATAGAATTGCTATTTACTGCCGTCTGTGGCTTAGTAGTTCATTCTTTACCAGGAAAGAACATAATCACTGTAGTATTAAAAAAGTATTTTCAAGTCACTATTTCAAGCTTCTTACTAACGGTTCAGCAGTTGTAGCAATAAGAAGACTGAAATTTGAGTATTACGATTAAAATCAGAATTGAGAAGTGATACAAAAGATACCAATCAAACTAATTACAGAGTTGCCTTTGTAAAACAAATGGTTGAAACTTATCTTTTATTATTTAGTCTCCATAAACCACCTACCCTCAATTTAATCTCTAATTACCGCTCTCATAAACTGTTACGTTTTTCTTGGTGGAAGTAGGTTATTGAGATTTTTGGTATATGTGCTGCCAAAGCGAGCACAATTATTGAGATTTTTGGAATTGGAAAGGATGAATTTCATGTTTTATATTTGTTTTCCTTTAATACCAAAATAGGCCATCTCACAGGTCTTCAGGTATGTAAGGCTGTGTAAGAAAAGTAAAATATAATAATATTTTTAAAAAATAAAGTAAAACATAATAAAAGTAGACTGTGAAGCTTATTTATTCATAAATTAAAAAGTAGAAGATTTTCTTAGCAACCTTTATGTGAAGGTTAGCTGCACCATTCTAAAACAGAAAGAGAGTTAAGAGCTGGATATAAATTACTAAATATTTCACTTTGGAAAGGAGCATCTTTGGTCTTTTTTCCCTATGAGCAGAAGAGCATTCCATCTGGAAAAAGCAGTTGTTGGGAGAATGTAAAGGTCAAAGTGCTCAGAGAGGAAATTAAGTTTGTTGATGTCTTGAAAACATCAGGCTGAAGAAGTATGGGGCAAGAGATTGAGTCACTACCTGACTTCTTTGCCTGAGGCCTGACTTACTAGCTGAGGATGTCACAAAGAGGACGATCATAGCCAATACTCTCTTCACTGACCCAGGTAAGGAGAATGGGGAAGAAAGCCTTTCGCAACTGAAAAAGCTGCTTCAGTCATTTGGTATATAATTTTCGTTAACAGCCTGTCTCAATTCTTTCAATTCTCCAGATTCTCTTAGATAGTTCTCTCCTTTTTCCTTATTCGTTTTTTTACACCTTAAAAAAATCAGTAGCACAAGTAAACACAGACCAGTGATTAATTTAAAAATAGTATTCACCTTTCATTTAGACATTAAATAGTAAATAAAACAGAGAGATTGTTAAGCCTTGGAACAGCTACTTCCAAGTTATGTGACCTTGAGCAAATCATACACATTTCTGAATCTAATTCTTGTCCATAAATATTGATAATAATAAATTTCAGCTGCTCAGAAGATTACCTGAGGGTTCACAAACCCATTAGCCATATATATATATATATATATATATATATATATATATATACACATACTATGGCCAAAGATTATGTTGTTTTAACTATATAAGTGAGCACTTTAAACTTTAAGAAAAGAGACATGAGAAGGATTTATTAGATATAGCTTCAGGACACACTCGAGAATGGAGTGGGAGTGCACAGAGAGATGAGGCACCTTAAATGTTGTAATTTTAAAAATATTTAGACATTTCAAATATTTTCTCTCAACTTGGCATCTATTTAACTTTGTCTACGGTGGCTGATGTACAACTCCATGCCTTTATTTTGATGTAACTTCATGAATACTTTCACATATAAGTTCTGCTTTCGAGAAGTTGTAAAATAAACCATCCCTCCGTTCTCCATCCTCCACATTAAGATAACGCTCTTCCACGATGTTACTAGCTTTTTAGTTTGACCTTTCACTCACCAGCCTTTACCGCATCTGGAGCTCTTTCTTTTGAAGTTGTATTTAATTTTCTCCAGATGTTAGCCTGTTTTCTTTCCCTCATTGATTGGTGAGCCCTGTTTACCATATATTAAAGTTTCCAAGTGAATTCTGAGCCGCGTGACTGAACGCCTACTTCAAAGAACTGGTAATAGTGGGCGAAGGCAAAGTGTGGAGAACATCAGGGTAACATGTTGAATTAGTAAATGAATAAATCCAGTACGAAATAAAAAAGCATACTTATTAAATGTTTTCAGATGATAAAAAGGATGGTCATAATACCGAGAGGCTGAAACATGAGGATGGCAAGTTTGAGCCCAGCAGGGAAAACAATTTCAGGGGACCTTGTCTCAAAAAAATTAAAAAGGGTTGGTAATGTGTCTTACTTAGATGGCTCTGGGTCTAATTCCCAGTAAAAGGGAGGGAGCAAAGGAAGGAAGGGAGGGACATATATATCACCACGCAGCTCTTAAAAGCTTCAAAGTTCTGCTGAGAAAAATAAACTCATTAGGGCGGAGATTAGCTCAGTTGTGCCATGCCTGTCTCACAAGTGCAAAGTCCTGAGTTCAATCCTAGGTACGGGGGTGGGGAAGGGAGAATAAACTCATTTCTTTTGCCAACAATTCTGTTCAGGAAAAATTA